TAAATGTTTCCTTTTCATGCTCCACCCTGATCCTCCGCCTGCCTCTCTCTCCCCCTGTGGGCAGTACCTGAGGTTACAAGGGCACTTCAGTTTCTCCCTTTGGTCTTTTCCTGTCCCTCCACCATCTCCTTTTCTTCCCAAGGGGGGAGAAAGCTTTTCTGCCTTTTTTGGCTTTTCCTGTCTGGTGCATTTCAGGTTTCCCTCTGTCTTCCACCTAGGGATGGAGGGAGTTGGTGGGAGCAGTCCTTTTAATTACTCTAGTTTGGGTTTTACAAGGAGAGGGAGGTTCTTTGGGGCCTACTATTTCCTTAGCCTTCCTCTTGGAAGCTTTGGGAAACTACACTTTTTCAAGTTAGTGTTTCCCAGAGACTCAGGGCGATCATTCTGCCTCTCTAACCCTGGCCTCTCCCTGTAGTCGTTGCTCTTCCCAAATCCAGAGCTCTTAGTTCCTGGCTCTCCCCCAAATCTTCTCCGAGCAGAACTTCTGGTTCCTTTTGGGGGTATTGGGTGGTTCTAGTGCACCCCTCTCCCCAGTCTTTCTGCTTTCATGGTTTTATGTGGGTGTGAGAGGATGGGGGCTAAGCCCTGACTTTCCTGGGCCCCTCCCCATGTCCTGGCCCTGGCATCCAGTGACTTATTTTGTCTCTTCCCCTCCCCACTTCCTTTCCCAGGTTTCGGTCTAAGTACCACCCAGATGAGGTGGGGAAGCGTCGGCAAGAGGCCCGGGGGGCCCTGCAAAACAGACTGAGGGTATTCCTGTCCCTCATGGAGAGTGGCTGGTTTGATAATCTTCTCCTGGACATAGACAAAGCTGATGCCATCGTCAAGATGCTGGATGCAGGTGTGTAGATTGGGAGGGGAAGAGGGTGTCTGGTAACCAAGATCTTGGCTGGGAAATAGAAGTCCATTGACAAACCAGAGGCAGAAGGTCACAGCCCTGGGATTGTGACCTCTGCTCCCTTTGTTGGCAGCTGTGATTAAGATGGAAGGAGGGACAGAGAACGATCTGCGCATCCTGGAGCAGGAGGAGGAGGAGGAGCAGGCGGGAAAGCCTGGGGAGCCCAGCAAGAAAGAGGAAGGCCGGGCTGGACCAGGCCTGGGGGATGGAGAGCGCAAGGCCAATGATAAGGACGACAAGAAAGAAGACGGCAAACAGGTCTGCGGGCTGGGCTTGCTGGGTGCTGCCCGTGAGCACCTGGGGAGGAGAATAGAGCAGCTTCTGTGGCGGGGGTGGGGGGGACCGGAAGGTTGTATCCTGGTCCAGGGAGAGGTGGAGGCAGACTTCTGGGCTCAGCTGTAGGGGAGGGGCGGGGCTCTGATACAGATTGAAGGGAAGATTGACATGCCTGTGATTGTCTTTTTACCTGCAGGCTGAAAATGACATTTCTAATGATGACAAAACTAAGAAATCTGAGGGTGATGGGGACAAGGAAGAGAAGAAAGACGACTCTGAGAAAGATGCCAAAAAGGTAGGGTAGGGGCACCTGGTGACTCAGTCTGTTGAATGTCCAGTTTTGGCTCAGGCCATGATCCTGTGGTTTGTGGGTTCGAGCTCGCATCAGGCTCGCTGGTGTCAGCACAGCCTGCTTTGGATCCTCTGTTCCCCTCTCTCTGGCCCTCCCCGCTTGCACTTTCTCTCTCTCAAAAATAAATCTTAAGGGCGCCTTGGTGGCTGAGTCAGTTAAGCGTCCAACTTCGGTTCAGGTCATGATCTCACGGTTCACGAGTTCAAGCTCCACGTTGGGCTGTGTGCTGACAGCTGAGTCTGGAACCTGCTTCAGATTCTGTGTCTGTCTCTCGCTGCCCCTCCCCTGCTCGTGCTCCGTTTCTAAAAAAATAAAACATTAAAAAAAATAAATTTTAAAAAGTCTTAAAAAAAAAACAAAAGTAGGGTGTTTCTTGCTCGGGGGTCAGTGTCAGGACTGGGGTCCTGGCTGTCTGACTCCCCTTGTCTTGCTGTGCCTCTCACAGAGTAGCAAGAAGCGGAATAGGAAGCACAGCGGTGACGATAGCTTTGACGAAGGCAGCGTGTCCGAGTCGGAGTCCGAGTCCGAGAGTGGCCAAGCTGAGGAAGAGAAGGAAGAGGCTGGTAGGTTTTATTTTGTTTCTGTTCCATTCTCTTCCTACTGAATAGGGGTAGGGGAGGTGACGGTGGGTGAAATTGATAAAGGAGGTGGGGGGCCTTTGGGGAGATGACGTAGCAGGAGTTTGACAGCTTCTCTATCTTCCCTTTCAACATTGACAATAAAAATTCACCAACTACCACCGCTTCCTGCATAGAAGAAGCACTCAAGGAAAAGGAGAAGCCCAAAGAAGAAGAAAGGGAGAAGCCTAAGGACACTCCGGGGCTGGAATGTAAACCCCGTCCCCTCCATAAGACTTGCTCCCTGTTCATGCGCAACATCGCACCCAACATCTCGAGGGCAGAGATCATTTCTGTGAGTGGGGAGAGCGCTACTGGGGGCAGGAATGGCATCCGGGCTCCATCTTTGGTGGTGGGAAGAAGATAATCTGGCTCTGCTTCTAGCATATCCCTATTTCTCTAATAGGGAAGCCCCCTTCTCCTGGACCCGTGTCTTTTGTGGGCAGGCCCCGGTTACATCATTGCTCTTAACGTCCTTTGTTGGTTTTTCCTTGCTTGAGTAAAGATTCAAAGACAATTCTAGGGTTCTGAGAACATGGGGATTAGAGGAAGAAGTGTAACGTTGACTCTCTCAGTGGGGTTTCTGTTGCTCTGCTTTTCCAGCTTTGTAAAAGATACCCCGGCTTCATGCGTGTGGCACTGTCAGAACCCCAGCCTGAGAGGAGGTGAGGAATGTAGAGAAGAGTGACCCTGGATACCCTGGAGATAAGGTGCAGGGGAAGGCTAATGGCCAGCATCTCCTCCACCAGCCAGGATTATGCTGACCCTTTCTTTGTAGGTTTTTCCGCCGCGGCTGGGTGACCTTTGACCGCAGTGTTAACATCAAAGAGATCTGTTGGAACCTGCAGAATATCCGAGTAAGTGCGGAATGGGCTCTCAGTTGCACACAACCTCGGATTCCTTTGTTCTTTGATTCACCCGTCGAGCCCCCTATTTCATCCACTCAGTCTGCTCACATTAAGAATATGCTGTTGTCTCTGGGCTGGGCTCTGGGGCTGTTACTGCGAGTAAGACCTCTCTGGTCCCTTTTCTCCGTGAGCTCAGTCTAATCACTGATCTAATTAGTAGGCCAGTCTTTGAGTTGCTGCTTTTTGGGGCAAGTGTTGGTAAGTTTTTTGTTCCCTCCAGCTCCGAGAATGTGAGCTGAGCCCTGGTGTGAACAGAGACCTGACCCGTCGAGTCCGCAACATCAATGGCATTACCCAGCACAAGCAGATCGTGCGCAACGACATCAAGTTGGCAGCCAAACTGATCCATACGCTGGATGACAGGACCCAGCTCTGGGCCTCTGAGCCTGGGACACCTCCTCTGCCAACAGTCAGTGACTCCCCGTGGAACTTTTTCAAAAGCAGTCATGTCGTCTGCTTGGGCACCTCTGGTCTTGTCTCACTTGATCTGTAGTGTTGACCCCTTGTACTTGGGCTCTCTATCTGGGCAGCACCTCCAGCTTCCAGCAGGACAGGTTGGCATTAGTGATGATTTGCTAGGGATAGAATGAATAAAGACAAACAATGAAACAGTGGTAATAGGCCCCAGTGAACCCTGGATTCCTTTCTGCTTCACGTGAAGAGGTTCCTGGGCTTCTCTGCCTCACCTGTTCTTTTTCCTCCCCACCAGAGTCTGCCCTCCCAGAACCCAATCTTGAAGAATATCACGGACTATCTGATTGAGGAAGTGAGCGCGGAGGAGGAGGAGCTGCTCGGGAGCAGTGGGGGGGCCCCCCCTGAGGAGCCCCCTAAGGAGGGGAACCCGGCAGAGATCAACGTGGAGCGGGATGAGAAACTGATCAAGGTGCCCGCAAGAGCAGAGTGTGGCAAGAGCAGGCGGGCAGGATCCTCCTGGTTTAGAGCATCGGAGGGGCAAGAGTGTGGTGAACTCACAGCTGCTCATTTCTCTTAGGTTTTGGACAAACTCCTCCTCTATTTGCGCATCGTGCATTCCCTGGATTATTATAACACGTGCGAGTACCCCAATGAGGATGAAATGCCCAACCGCTGTGGCATCATCCACGTTCGTGGGCCCATGCCACCCAACCGCATTAGTCATGGAGAAGGTGGGCTCCCAGCTTCCCCAGTCCTGATTCCCCTTTGGTTTCCTTTCTCTTCAGCTGCCTCTGGCCTTAGATGTGTTTGGATAGCAGTGCCCTACCCCCCCTCTCCTTTTATCCCCTCCTTTTTGATTGTTGATGCCAGCGTGGGGCTCAAACTCCCAACCCTGAGATCAGCAGTCACGTGCTGTAGTGACTGAGCCAGCCAGGTGCCCCTTATCTCTTATTCCTTGCTTCTGGCTTCCCTCCCCAACCTGTCGTCTGTTCCAAATCGCAGTGCTAGAGTGGCAGAAGACATTCGAGGAGAAGCTGGCTCCACTGCTGAGTGTACGGGAATCTCTTTCAGAGGAAGAGGCTCAGAAGATGGGTCGCAAAGACCCCGAGCAGGAAGTGGAAAAGTTTGTCACCTCTAACACTCAGGAACTGGGCAAGGATAAGTGGCTATGCCCTCTCAGTGGCAAGAAATTCAAGGTCTGGGATGTTAGGGAGTTGTGCGCTAGACCTGTGGGAGGAGGGGGTAGAGCCAGAAGCCTCCTCAGGCCTGGGGAGGAATGGGCTCCGTGGAA